TTACACTTTCACAAATCTCACAACAGACGCAGATTGAGATACAGACACACAACTCATTTAAAAAATAGTTTTGCAACAATAATACCTCCATATGTAATGGTTATAAAAAATGTTAATTGTTTAAAAGTCAGTTCTGTGTTGAGGCGAGAAAGGGAAGTGATTTGCTTTGGTTTGTATTAGCGCTTCAAAAAGGAAAAACGAGCAGATTGATGATTGATCCGCTATCGATTATTTTGGTCTTTACGCTGAAAAGTTATAAAGTGACGCATTGGCGCAGTACCGAGTTGAAGGTGTCATTGTTTAAATGTTCTTTTGCTCATTTATTGTTTTGCCTTGTTTTAATAGGGTACTTCCCCCAGAATTTATGTTTTAAGAGTTTTTACCTGCTACCCGGGAATCGATTGGGTATGTCTGAGTTCATGTCGGGAACCGTGTTGCTCCTGCTCGTCCGTTACAAGGCTGGACGTGAAGAAAGTAACACCTCGTGTCTTGTCCTCATTATTCCCCTTTTCAGGTAAAACCTCCGTCAAATATTGCAGTGTGTATTTATGTTCTCTGTTGTTTAAGAATGAAGTTAGAGGTAAAATCTTTCTGTAATAACTGTTATTGTTGTAGCTTTGAGTAGGCGCTGCTTCTGTTTAGCTTCACCGTAGCTCTCTTTCTAGCTTTTGCGATGTGTTTATAAAATGATGTATTGTTCTGATATAAGAAATGCATTACAAGGCTGGACGTGAAGAAAGTAACACCTTATTCCCCTTTTCAGGGGTGTAACACATACAAACATCTGTACTGCGCCCACATTAACATGCTATGTTTAGGTTGTTTAATCCATTCTTTCCATCTTTACAATTACTTAAACTAAATGTCACCTGGTTGTAACGCTTACCAAACCAACACACGGACCCTCACATTCAACCTTTTTCCAGCCGTAGCAACAGAGGTTATTAACTTTTACTCTCATTGCAATTGCAGCTTTCAGGCCTTTAACTGGTACAAAAAAGACAGCATTACCTATTACTGTTAGTTATAAAGCCCTCAGTGGTTGAGTTCGACAATATAACATGTAAACTCCACTTCTATGCCGTGGCCACTCAGGTCATCATTACTTGCTTTCACGCCTCAAACCCAAACATGACTGGGCTCTTTTTGTTTTGTTTTTTAATTACATCCAGTCTCCTGTTCCACAATAAATCCTGCTCCAACTTTGGCATTTTCAAATCAAAATGAAATGCTCACCTGTTGTTCTTTGTTTCTAGCTCCTTCTGAAGCGGCCCTATCCACTCTTAATTTCATTTTATCGTCCTACTGTTTTGTACTGACAGTTTGTCTGATTTTACCCAGTTTTCCCTATTACTCTTGTGCCATTATACTTCTATTTGTTGTTCAGTAAAGCCAACATGCTTTACTTTGGCCATCCAGTTAATATGGCTTTCATCATATGTGTTAACGCTTGTCATTTACTCCATGCCTCTATGAGCACTATTGCAGGTTTTTAATTTTGTCTTTTCTCTCCTGCATGTGCTTTGTCCTCTCTGTCTATGTACCTCCTTACAGTTATTTCTGACCCTGGAGCTGCACGTGGTCCAAAAAGAAAACAAACAAAATAAAAACATCCATTACAAAAATGGTGGAAAAAATCTGGCAGCGAGTGCCTGAAAAAATAAGTTTAAAAAATACAATAAAACCAGGGAATACTGTAACATTCAAAAAGTATTAAAATGCTAAAACAATTATGACAAATATCTGTACAGTATTTTTAGTTTTTTAGCATAATAAAATGTAGTTACATTTTTTCTACAGTGAACAGGAAAATTACTTCTTTTCAGTGATTTATTTTAGATGTTAACTTTAACTTAACAAAACAGAAAAAATCTGTGAAAAACAAAAAGTTACAAAAATTAGTTTTTCAATCGTTAATTTTAGTTTATTGCATTTTTTTTCTCCTTTTAACCACTGGCAAGTAAAATAATGAGGGTTTTTTGTTTTGTTGATCTAAATTGTAGAAGATTTAATGTAGTAAATTAATACATTCCATTTTCAAAGATACATATTTTGGGCTGCAAGATGGATCGGTGGATAGCACCGTTGCCTCGCAGCAAGAAGGTTGCCGGTTCGCATCCCGATGAAGACACCTGTGTGGAGTTTACATGTTCTACCCGTGCAGCGTGGATTCTCTCCGGGTTCACCGGCTTCCTCCCACACAGTCCAAAAACATGTTGAGATTAACTGGTGATTCTAAATTGCCCGTAGGTGTGATTGTGAGTGTGCTTGGTTGTCTGTCTCTAAGTGTAGCCCTGCAATAGACTGGTGACCTGTCCAGGGTGTCCCCTGCCTTCGCCCTGAGTAAGCTGGGATATGCTCCAGCCCCGCGCGACCCGGGTGAGGATTAAGTGGTGTATAGATAATGGATGGAGGATACATATTTTTGATGTGGATTTTATAAATAGTTTCAATTCAATTCAATTCAAATTTATTTGTATAGCGCATATTTACAACGCATATTTACAACAAGTCATCTCATAGCGCTTAACAAAAGCAGAAACACCCAACAATCCAAATCATTTGGATTCCCTATAAGCTTCAGCAGTCCGCAAGCAGTCTGCAACAGTGGGAAGGAACCGAAAACCCCCATGGGGGAAAAAAAACCTCCGACAGAACCAGGCTCAGGGAGGGATGGCCATCTGCCGCGACCGGTTGGGTGGATATAGAATGAATTATAAAATTTAGTTTACAGTTAAACAAGTTTTTAGAAGTTATTGTCCTTTTGTTCCTCCATTTGAAATGGACCAATGAAATATTCCATTTCATGGTTGGTGGAGGTAACAGGAGGCATCATGGTGGGGGCAGCAGGATGCAGAAGGTGAGGCCAGTGGCTGTAGTTCAGGAGCTCCAGATCCAGAGACATCCACCGAGAGAACAGGCACAGGAGAACCTAGTTTGGGCCTCTTTTTAAATTTAGATTAACATGTAAACCTTTTTTGTGTCTTTTCTGTGATTTCACTAGATTTCATCTGTAATTTATGTAAGTTTTCAAAACTATATATAACGCTGACATCTAAAATCTTTGTCTTTACAAATAGTAAACTGTAAAGCAGCTTGTTCTTTGACAATATTTGACCGTAAAATTACATGATTATTGCATCCATCCATCCATTTTCTATACATCGCTTAATCCTCACTAGGGTCGCGGGGGGGGCTGGACCGTATCCCAGCCGACTTAGGGCGAAAGCAGGGGACACCCTGGACAGGTCGCCAGCCCATCGCAGGGCCACACTTAGAGACAGACAACCAAGCACACTCACATTCACACATACGGACAATTTAGAATCACCAATTAACCTCAACATGTTTTTGGACTGTGTGGGAGGAAGCCGGAGAACCCGGAGAGAACCCACGCTGCACGGGGAGAACATGCAAACTCCACGCAGAAAGATTCCGGTGCCCCCACCGGGACGCGAACCGGCAACCTTCTTGCTGCGAGTGATTATTCATTTCAATCATTAAAAAAAATATATTTATTTTACAGATGTTTACAGGTTTTCAAAAGAAAAAAATGTTTCAAGATTGAAAATAGGATTTTTTTTTTAAAGATTTTACATGTTTTGTTAAATTATAGATAGCACCTTGTAAAATCACATTGAAAGTAATAATTTAGTTACAAAAAAACAAGACAATAAGAAAAGAAAGAGTACAGACAGCTGCAAGATGACTTTTTTCTTTTACAATGTTTTCACTGTATTCAAATCAGCTAACAATATTATCATTTTACAGATATTTACTATTATTTTCACTGTTTTTTCTAAGCATTGCAGCATTCCACTGTTTTTACTTTTATTTACTATTTTTTCCTGATACCTTTTTGTTTTTTAATTAGTCAGGGTAAACTGGTATTTTATATACTTTTTTAAGGGCTTACCCTTTATATTTACTGTATTCTTGTTAATTCACATCCAATATCATACTGCAGGGGTCTTCATTAGGCTAATTTTATTCCTCTGCTGGGAAACACTGCAGGCTCTGCAGCTGTTGTTTCAAACGTGCTCTATAAATAACAGCGACTAGACTTGTGTGAGGCAGAACAGAGGCTATTTGCATGATGCCTTTATATTTTTGTATCGCAGAACGGGTCGGAGCTTTGGGGGAAATCCCCTGATGAACCTGCGGCGTTGTATGACATTGGAGTGCGTCGGTCCTGCAGGAGCTCAGCCTCGGCTGTCTGTCCTCGGCGGCGTGTATCGATCTCTGTCTGCGCGCTAACAGGAAAACCTGGTGTGAAGGTGTAGACGTAAGCCACGCATGTCTCCACACATGCCTCCAAGAAACACATGCGAGACGACGGGGTGAAAGATGCTTCTCAGGGCTGAATTTAATTGTGTACGGTGGAGGGGAGGAAAAATGCACGATTGGCCAATTAGCTGGAACATGGAGAGCCAGCTCCTGTGGGGCCCTTCACATGGGAACCCTCCACCAACAGCAGCCAGGACACAAAGCTGGAGCTGTAAACATCACATATATGCCCTTTTCTGAGAGCATAACAACTAAATGCACGTGGGAGATGTTTTTTTTTTTTTTTTAGGAATAATGTGATTTCAAGGGATGACAACACAAATATAGAGCCGCATTTTAAAGAGAAGCCATTTTCGATTTTAAAAAATGGTTGCTTATTTAGAATTACAGGCTACATGGGCGTTGAAGGCTCCTCTATACGTTACAGGGTTGCATTGGCTGTATGACAGTACACGTCCGTGGATTAGACGGACCTCTGCGTGGAGGATTAACCAGATGCGGCTCATGAAGAAGCCTTTTGTCCGTTCTGACCTGTTCTTAAAAGACGTTCCTGCTCGGCGGAGATGCTGCAGAGCGCAGACTGTATGTGTTTCGGGCGCTCATGTCAGCTGCGGACATGTGGACGGATGCGGGGACCGTCCACGCTGCCGATGCTGAGGTGCGCAGCATCCGCGATCAGCGCCAGCGGTACGCGGGAAGCAACACAGGCTTACCTTGGGAATGTTGTGAGTTCATCAGTCCACTTCTTCCCGCACGATGCTCTGCCATCCGTGTCTCGTGGGGAAAAGGCTTCAAACGCGGCGCATCAGTTGTTGCTCAGCGCGCTTCTCTTATGGAGACCGAGTCACGGAGCAGCCGCTGGGTATGGAGGGCGATGAGTGCCACCAATATACAGCCCTCACAGATTTATTCATAAGGGAAGCCCCTTATTAAAGAAAAGGCAAAATTCATAATAGCTACTCAAATAACAAGAAACTGAAAAAAGTAATTATATATATATATTAAATTATAATTGAGTGAAATAAGACATTGCTTTTGAATTGTGGTTGAAAAGAACAATTTAAAAAAAAAAAAAAAACTGTCCCAGACAAATTAGAGCACTTTGCTGATGAGCAGTGGGCCAAACTCAAAATACCTGTAAACAGGTGCAGAAGTCTGATTGAGAGTTACAGAAAACAACTGATTGCCTCAAAGGGTTGTTCAACAAAATACTAGTTTACGGGTCCCATCGTGCTTGTTTGCTTGCGTGTGTTTTTTGTTTAGTTGGGGGGTTTTTTTTAGATTTCTGTTGAACCACAGTTCAAAAGCAATGTCATGATTTTCATTACATTTTTATTTATTATTACTTTTGTCAATTTCAACTTATTTCAGTGACAGCTGTTTTATTTTCTTCTTTAATGGGAAGGTATATTTAAATGAGAGGACAACTCTAGCAACAAATAAAAGAGAGCACCTCACAATGTCGTCTCGTCTCTTTAGTATTTTTTTTTTTTAAATGTATTCAAAATGTAGATACTGTTTCTTTAATTTTGGTTTTGAATAAAAAAGATTTTGATTTTAAATATGTATACACTATGAAAATCAAATTTTGCATACAAATAATATTTTATTTATTTTACATGTGTAAAATTGTTGACTTTATCGGTAAAATAATAAACCTAAACGCTTTTTTTTTTTTTTTTTTTTTTTTTAATTGTATTCTTTTAAATATAATATATTATTTGTACAGTACTTTTTCTGCTATCTTGGAAAATCTGGACCATGCCCACGACCAGTTCTGATTGAGGCACATGAGGTTGAACTTGTACAAAACTACAAGTACCTTGGGCTGTGGCTAGACAACAAGTTGGACTGGACATGCAACACAGACTACCTGTACAAGAGGGGACAGAGCAAGCTGTACTTCCTGAGGAGGCTCCGGTCGTTCGACATTGGCCTGAAACTCCTGCAGATGTTCTACCAGTCGTAGGTCGCCAGCGTCCTTTTCTACGCCATGGGGTGCTGGGGCAGCAGTACATCAATAAGGAACTCAACCAGGCTGGACAAATTAATCAGGCAGGCCAGCTCTGCAGTGGGCATGAAACTGGACTACCTGGTGACAGTGGCAGAGAGGAGGACACTGCACAACCTGCTGGCCATCATGGACGATGCCAGCTACCCTCTGCACACTGTCATCATCGCCCAGAGGAGCCAGTTCAGTGACAGGCTGCCCCTCCCCAGGTGCAAAACCACCAGGACCAAAAACTCCTTTGTTCCCCAAGCCATCAAACTGTTCAACTCTGAGCTTGGGGTGAGGGCGAGGAGCAGCAAGCGGGGAGAGGTGGGGAGTGTTGAATGAGGACATTGGGGTGAGACAGAGCATCATGCTATATCACCGGACTGTGTGCAATGTCACTGTAACCTGTTTCTGTTTCCATTATTAGTGCCACGGGCTGAGCATGAGGCCCTACTTGTACAGAGTACTCGATCGGGAATAGTATGCTTACATACAGATTTACAAAAAACACATTTTTCGCGACGCAATTCGCAAAAACATCGCAAAAATCTCCCATTGGAAATGAATGGGACAGACAAGAAAATCACCCAAAATTACACTACTTTTCAAACCTCCACTGCTCAGGCATGCTTTCACCTAGAGACTCCATTTAAACTTTAAAATGTTGACGCGTCCGTCCCCTATTTCAAAGCATTTCTACTTTTTTCATATCTTCAATCGTTTCTTCGTGACAACCTCTCAAGTTTTCAAACTTTTTCACCCCCTTTCAGCCTTTACAATGGGTGTGTATGTGGTCCTTTAGAGTGAGTGATGACATCACTAGAGTGAGAGCTCAGAAAAAAATCACCCAGTAAATTTTTCTTTTAACTTGTCGCCCTGGCCACAATTTTTATGCCACAGACATCATTTTTACATCAAAACGTAGGAAAATTTGTTTGGAGCCTTGTTCCTCCACAAGTCTCTCTTCCTTCCCCATCTGCATCCATTCAAAGACAGCTGGGGATTTTTCTCAAGGACCAGAAATTTACACATTCCTTCTCAAATGATTGTGCGCTCATTTTTTACTCTAGGAAAATAAAGAATACATCTCTGTAATGCCCAAGATCTTGGCTTTCTGAAATTGTGCTCGGCTTTTCTCTCCGACACAAGGTTTTGACAAAAATGGCGGTTGTTTGATGTCTTCTCCTTCTGGTTTCTTCTACTGATTTGACAGTTAAACCAAGTATCTGTTGCAGCTGTGTGCTTGGTTGCCCGGCAACGGTCTAACCCTGCTCCCAACCCCCCCTCCCCCCCTGCTCCCTCCACACAGCAACAGCCCTTCACACAGCTGAGGCTTAGGTTATTCAGAGTTTTTAGTAGGTTTGGTAATTAAAAAATAGACATTTAAAGGTCCCGGCAGACTCCCATGGCACTCTCAAATTTTCTGCGAGGAAATTTTCTAGTTATTATTGTTATTGTTATTGTTGTTATTATTATTACCTTCTTTCTATAAAAAACATTATATAATTGTACAGTAAGTTATTATTATTATTACTAATTGCACTGTGCTGCTACTGTTATTGTGTAATGTATATATACATGTATATTTATGTTCTTTATATACATATTTATTTATGTTCTTTATATATATATATAAGATACACCTTTATATTTTGTATACCCAACTATATTTACCTATAACTACACTGATTGTTATCAAATTATATAGCATATTAGTATTCTTAGTAGTATTATTGCTATTATTTACATTGCTATTATTACGATTATTACTATTCCTATTTTTTTTTTTATTATTATTATTATTTTTATTATTATTATTACACCATGCTGCTGTGTTATCTAACAGTTTGTTTCCTTGTTTCTTGATTTTTTTCTTAACTGATGTGTGCTACTGTCTTTGTTGGTGTTGTGCTGTTGCTAGAACAACCATTTCCCTGAGGTACCCCACCAAAGGGATCAATAAAGTTCTATCTAATCTAATCTAATCTAATCTAATCTAATAAAAATTAAACCACAATTAACTTTTTGCAAACTGTGTATTCAGGCTTAAACTAAATTGGGGGTGTTGTTTTAACCTTGGTCATGTAACAGGAAACACATTCTTACTGGTTGATAATGTTTTCATCTGAATAGAGAAAAAACTAGCGTGTTTTAGAGTCAGATTATTTATTAATACTTTTTAAAATTTTATTTAAAGGTGTTTGATTGTGTCATTTTTGCAAAATCTGCAAAATACAGCAGTTTCATAGCAGAACTTGTGGGTGTTTCAGCTTGTTTAAGCTGTTTCATTGTAGTAATTTTGGAAAACAACTTCCCATTAAAAAACATGCAATAAAAAAATTTCCTATTTTTGCATTTTATTTGAATTAGGATGTTTAACTGCAATTTCACAGTTTTTACTTGGCAACTGTGTCTGACAGTTGTTTTCTTAGGATCTTTTTTTTTTTACATTGTAGGCTCTGAGTAGAACACTACCAGTTGTTGCCTGTATGTCACTGGATGTTACAGCATCAAATGCATCGTACAAAGGACTGTAAGTAAAAGTGAGAACTAATGTCATTTGCAACCATAGTCGGCGTAGCAGTGGAGACATGATGCAACTGTCCAATCTGTAAGGAAACAGTAGCTGGCATATAGCTAGCAGGATAACTAGCACTCATTGAACAATATTATGTAAAATAATAATAATAATAATAATAATGTGTGCAAGGTTGCAAGGTGGATCAGTGGTTAGGACCATTGCCTCACAGCTAGAAGATCCATGGTTCGCATCCCGGTTAGGATGCCCAGGAGCTTTCTGCGTGGATTTTGCATGTTCTCCCTATGCAGTGTGGATTATCTCTGGGTTCTTCAGTTTCCACCCACAGTCCAAAAACATGTTGAGGTTAACTGGTGATTCCCAATTGTCCATAGGTGTGAATGTGATTGTGCTTGGTTGTGTTTCTCTAAGTGTATCCCTGCGATCGACTGGCGACCTGTCCAGGGTGTCCCCTGCCTTTGCCCTGAGTCAGCTGGGATAGAATCCAGCATCCCTGTGACCCTAGAGAGGATTAAGCAGTGTATAGATAAGTCTAAGACAGTCAAGACTGCAGGACCTCAGCTGCACGAAGTTACCAGGTTAGTGCTCACAATCCGCAAATTCACAATTTACAAACCACTACTGAGTTACTATTAAGATTGTTGGTGACATATGGTGAAAATGTTGTCAGTACATATACCTGGTTAATTACTCCATTCAGTTAATCCATTCAAATGAAAAGGTTATATTGTTCACCACATTTGCTGCTATTCCCCTTTTCTTGCTGCTACTTGCCTTTACTTGGCATTAATCACCTTCCATACACAAGATTCAGTTAATCCAGAGAAGAGCCTCTTGTCCAATGATTGTCTGCCTGTGTGGTGCTATCAGCTCTAGACCAATTGCTATGCTGAGTGTTCAAGCTGATACAGCAGACCTCAAACAAGTTTCCACCATGACTGATGAGTGGTCTTGTGGGTCGGCCATGACCTTAACAAAATTCAAAAGAATTCCAATACACGCCACAGACAGTGTAGACTGCAGTTTTTATTTAGTCCAGTTGTGAGGGTAATAAACCAGAAGTGAAATATTGTTTAGAATTTTTAAATTAGTATTGAATTTTGAATTTCAGGGCTTTCTTTATCAAAGCATTCCTTTACAGGAAATGCACTGAAATATCATGATTTGTCAGTATTGTGTAGACCGACCATATGTGGTACAACAGGTCTACATGGGTACAATGTAGATCTACTTTTTGTAATGAAACCACACTTAGAACCTTATAGGTTCTTTAAATACACATAACAAGCAGTGACAGTGACTGCAGTGCTTCAGGACTTGGATAT